TGTTCTCTGAAACCTTGAACCTGGCTCCATGACAGCCCACAATCTCTCATTTCCTCCTCGCACGATCTCCTCCATGACACCCTCGAAAGCCCATTTTGTTGCTTCCCATCGGGGTTCCACTTGAGGGCCTGATGCGTAGTGTCCCCAGTCGGCCTCCTCAGTGCATGCTCAATCCATCTCCACTTCCTTCCAGTGCATATTTGTTGGGTGATAGGTTCTCGGTTGGTTCGTTCCTAGAGTTCCTTGTTGCTTATTCTTTCTGGCAATCCGTCTGATCTTCAGTAGTGAGCGTAAGCAGTTGTTGATGAATGTCTGTAGTTTATTGGAAATCCCTTTCGTGACGCGCCAAGTCTCTCAGCCATACAGAAGCACTGACTTGATGTTGGTGTTGAAAATCCGGATCTTATTCCACATGCTGAGTGCAGAAGATCTCCACACAGGTTTCAGGCTAATGAACGCCTGTCTTGCTTTTCCGATTCTGACTTTGACATCTTCGTCTGTGCCTGCTGTAGTTGAAACAGTGCTTCCTAGATAGGTGAAGGAGGTTACTTAATTTTAGTTTCTCCCGTTGATGGTGATTGGAGTTTGTTGCTGTTGTTGGTGCGGTATCTTCATCACCTGTATCTTCTCTATATTCACTTGAAGTCCCGTCTTCGCTGCCTCGCCTCTTCTGTTAACTTGTTAGTTTTCGCCTGTAGATCTTCAAGTTTATGTAACATCAGACACAAGTCATCATTGGCGAAATCCAGATCTTCTGTGTTCTTTTCCGCAGTCCAGCGTATCCCCCTCTTCTCGCTCTCCACTGTTTGCTGCATGATCCAGTTGACCACAATCAGGAATATCATGGGGGATAGTAGGCAACCTTGTTTCACTCCTGCCTTCACTTCGAAGGCATCACTGAGCTTCCCGTTATGAATTACTTGGCATGTGGCGTCTTCATATAGTTGTTGAATGAGGCTGATAAAGGTTTGTGGTATTCTGTAGTAATGAAGCAGTTTCCAAATTACCTCTCGGTCGAGGCTGTCAGAGGCCTTCTCAAAGTCGATAAAGTTGAGGTGAGATAGAGGGTTGACTGCCATTTTATACTCTGTTCTATGATGATGCGTAGTGAGGCGTTGCAATTTGGTCCGCACATGATTTGTACTTCCTGAAGCCTGCCTGTTCCGGTCGTAGTTTTGAATCTAGCGCATCCTTAAGCCTCTCCAGGATGATGCGGCCTAATATTTTGCTTGGAGTAGACAGGAGAGTGTTTTCGCGCTTTTCTTGCAAACCCTGGGGTCTTCCTTCTTCAGCAGTTTGACAAGGTTACCCCTCTTCCAATCGCCAGGTACCTTCCCTTCCCTCCACACCTTCTGCAATGGTGGCGTGGTGTGAGCATGTCCGCTGTTGTCTCTGCATCTGTTCTCAGTGCTTCCGGCGGAATCCTATCTGATCCTGCTGCTTTCTCGCATTTCAGTAGCTTTGTGGCGTTCAGGACTTCCATTTTTGTTGGAGGATTTATGTCCACTTGTAGTTCAGCGGTTGTAGATGGTATTTCTGGACGAAGTGCAGGTGATGGTCGATTCAACTGGGGACTTTCTGTGTGTCAGACAGAATAATTTCAACAATGTATGGTTGTGTTGAATGATACACAGAGCTTGAATAGAATGATAAAAGTAGTGCTTTTTTCTGAAAGAGTGGCTAAAAAATGACACAGTGCAGTCACAGTGAGAGTCGGGTACTGAGAAGAGAAATACTACTACTATATTGGTATCATGTATCAACTGTAAACCTTTCTGTATAAATTATGATGACCGGTGTATACGCTAAATCGGCCAGTTTAGTATACTCCTGATTAAGATAAACTGTAATATTTTTGTTGTAAAAAGTAGTAATAATTTTAGTCTTGCTTGGAAGTGACTTCGATTTCAACTAAAAAACTTATAACTGTGTTGCTGAACGGTGTGATTTTTGTTGAAAAATCGTAATAACGCTTACTAGAAAAAATCCCGAATTCTTAGTCAGTTTATTAGTCCGAAATAAAACACTGAATGATTTTTGAAAAAAGTTTGCAGTTTTACATGTACAGTTAACAGAAATAGTAGTTTCAGGAAAAACACAAGTTTTATGACTTATTGGTAAATTTTTAATGAAAAGTTTACACACAGTGATAGGATAATTTTAAGTTATTCATTGTGTTCACCTCCAAAAGTGTGAATCATTTATTTCGGATGTTCACGCGGTAGACATGTATTGCATACCTCACTTCATTGACACTGCATGTGCCTGGTAAATGAGTTCTGACATGCATTTTTGGTCACCGATAAGATTTAAAGCTATTACGAAATAATCACAGCTTCAGTTTTTTTGTTCGTCTGTGATATTGATCGTTTACCATTCTAGGTTATTTCATGAAACCTGATTATATTACCTTCTTTAATTCATGTATGAATAGTGATAAGAACTTTAACTGATGTACATACTTTAGAGAAATTAACAGAGTGGATGTATGAATAACAGCTGACCATCACTAAACTAATTTTAAGAGCATTACTTGGACACAATCCAGCGAATTATTTGGTAAATTCGTATACTACCTGGACTACTATTGCCTGGTCTGTAAGCAACTAGGAAATGTCAGTTATATAATAGCCGTTTTCTGAGTAGTTGAGATGTACTCATAAACAGTTCAAAGTTGTACATGGTTTCAATTTGCTACAAAATGCTGATTTACGAACAGTTCTAGCTTGAGTGCCATGGTTCATATCAGTAGATGCATTCAACACCTAATATACTTTTTTGTGTAGCACACCTTAATTTGTATTCACCCTGGCTAAAGCATATTTATATAAATATTCATAATCAGCTTGATTATCTTAGATAGCAATACTTTGAAAGACTTGTATCGATACTGGAAACCCGATGGTCGTTTGTTCGAATACTGCCATGACCTAGATTTTCATTTCACCTGAATTCTTCACCTAGTTTATATATATATATATATATATATATATATATATATATATATATATGATTACCTTGCTAAACCGCGCTAAAAGAGAAGTTATTGAAAAGAAACAATTTTCATAACCTTTTTGTTTAACTACAGACTGTCACTTCAGGATTGATGATATTTACTTTAGTTTGACAGATATTGGTATGTGCATTCAAACTGTTTTACTCTTAATATCACGATTTACTAGTTTAGGTTATTTGTATGCATAGTAGTATGTGCTTGTAATGTGCTTATTAGTGAATTCCAGTTTAAAGTAAATGATTCAAGTTTCAACACTGCTGTAGGTTGAGTGTAGTATACTGTTATATGTAAATCCTTTGCTAACAGACTTTTAGTGAAATAAATAGATTCTTCCTAAATTCTGGACTACATTGGGGAATCAAACCAACTGGAAAGCAATGAACTTGAACCATGGTTCGCAAGGATTATAAGTGAAGTTTAACTGCGCAAATTTAGCTTTACAATGCTGCGAATGTCCGGTTTTTCAGAATAGGTTATCGTAAATCTCACTACTTATTTTCAAGGGTTAACTGTTTGTATCTAATTTGAATCTTGATTAGGCAGATCACTTGAGAAATGGATGTCAATAAAACTCGTAGGTTATTCGAAAGTGTTGACTAAGGCTGTTGGTAAAGTTAGTAACTGTCACAACTGACACCTACTGGTGAACTTTGTACTAAATTGAATCCATCCACTTCTCGTTAGGCAAATTTGGGAATGATTTATCTCTATCACTTCGAAGTGTATTCGCATTTCTGTAGAATTACGGTTTAGAATAGAATTTTTCACTAGATAATCGTAGTATTGAACTTGATCTCGAAAATCACACTCGATATTCATTGTGATCTATTATACAACCTAATTTGTTCCTAAGGGCAGAAGACATACTAAGACTGGTTTCAGTGATGGAAAGATGTTAATAAAAGTTTTTAGAATGTTTTTCTGTGAAGGCGTTTCCATGGAGATTTTATTAGATTTCACTCAGTATAGTTTTCAAAAACCCGATGAATACGAAAGTTTCATAACTGATAGCCTCATAAAAACTGAGTGGCTGGCAGGAACTAGACCACGAAACTGTGGGCAATAAAGTCGAACAAGTAACGCATTAAAGTTATAGAGCTGAAGCTAAACTTTTTCAAAAGTCTCTTGTCCAATGACTCCACGTTATGCATACGTGTATTTGTGACACAATCGATTATTGTAGCAACTAAATACATGATGGTGTTGAACTTAAAAGAATTTATACTCTTAGGAGCCTAATATTTATGAAAAATCCTTGTATTTGACCTCTCGTAGTTCGGAGTATAGTTAAGTCTGGTACTTTTAGGAGTTCTTGTTTGATCCACTGGACATATAGTCGTATGTATTGTTTACGTTTTTGTCTGACAGAAATATATACAAGAAAGTTGAAAAATCGAAGAGAGGTGAATTGTTATTACATTGGGCTGTTCAACAAGTTTTGATGGATTTGTTCGATGCCTGTCGTTTGTTCATACAATAAACGTGATAAAGTGGCATTTCTCTCTTATCTCCGAAATACATATTGTTTTCTGCAAAAAGAAGAAAACGTTTTCATTTATCTTATATCATGCTGTTGCACACGGTTTTCGCATATACGACCATAACCTTAACTTCATTGTTGTTGTTATAATTTACTAAACCTCGGTGTTAACCTTATTTGAAAAATATAAAATATCGTAGTTTTTTATTGTAAGGTTTATGGACAATATATAAGCTTTAAGGTGAGCAGTTCCTAAAGTGGTATTAATTTTTGTTTGTTACTTACGATCCTGGTTAAATCTCCAGCCGAACGTAAACATCCCTTATGCTGTGGAGTCAGATGAATTCGGCGTGAAAGATTGTCTGATTCAGTATTGCTACACCATCATCACTCATTACTTTGACACACAGACACGACACTTTTATAATGATGAGCTTCTTTTCGCATGCACTTTTGATGCTGCTATCATGATTATATGATTACTAACAATTACAAAGAAATTTCAGTGAATTTTCATGTTCCAATCTCTTACTTCAAAACATGTAAGCTAAAAATATTGAATACGAGAATACTAAGCATAACTGGAAAGTTGTGTGTACATTGTAAATGGTATAGAGAAGTAGATTTGAAGTTATGCTTATGGCTTTGAACTAAGCAAGTAAGCTCGTTAGTGTTTGAATACCATTACCGTTCCGCTTTCAAAAATGAAATATGCAGTATTGTTTAGAGTAAGCGGAAATCGATCTAAACTTGTAAGGCACCGAAAAGCTACATTAGTTTATGAAGTAGATAATCACGAATGAAAGTATAACAAAACATTTTTTCTTTGATGGTTTTTCAAAAAAGTAGTTAATGTAACGTAAGACCTCAGTTCATTGAATACTTGTGATAAAAAGAGAGGGCAGCAGGGGAATCAAGGAAGTGGGTTTGTTTATATTTGGGTCTCGTCAGCCAGGACTATCTATCCCTCAGTGAGCTACAGTGCCTAAAATTCATTATCTGGAGTGTCACAGAGTTACTCACTAAGCCACTGAGTTAAATTACTCACTTCCAATGCAGTGGATATAGTTGAGTGCTTCAGCTTATGGATTGCTGTTGCTGATTAGATTGGATTATCTGCCATTGCTCGCATATGGGTTCAAAGTGAAATCACCGGCAACATCGAAGCACCTGTTAATCAGACTATATGTCATAAATAGCCAGTCAGTTAGAATGCTTAGTTCAAGGTAGATTCAAGTGGTTGAGTGAATACAATTAGTTTATTTATATTATCTTACCCTTATTTCCCACGTTCTTAAACTACTAGTTTTACTGATATTCTCTTTATAAATGTGATAGTGTTGAAAAATGATTTATTATGCATGATTCTGTTTTTTGTAGCACTTATGAATTAGCGCAAAATTATTTACTGTTTATATATTAGTCACTGCAAATAGCCTAGTTCATATACTTAAGCTAAAATAGAGCGTGTAGAAAACATGTTATCTACCAGTCGTTTCTGAAGTGTTGCTTTTGAATATAGAATTTGCATCGATTGTCTACTAGCCAACAGATCTGAATACAGCGAGAAGGACTAACACGCTCCAAAATATCGACAAATAAAATGTGGGAAAGAAATAAAACCTGTCAACTCGGTTACTCGTCACGCAATATCGTTCTTCCGATTACCAGACATGGAGAGAACAAGAAATACAAGTTTAACAAAAGGGTATAAATCATTAATCCCAAGATTTCGCTTAAGCTGGCTCAAACTCTTTTGCTTCAGTTTATCTTCTTAGTTAACTCATCTTCATGCCTTTAAAGATATGTAGGTCTACTTCAGTTTGAGAATTCACTTCGAAATTAACAATCAGACAATTTACTTTCCATATTATAGCATTTGTAAAGGGCATCTTGACATTAAGGTCGTAGATCTAATCTTAGCATGGAAAAAAAATCCAGTGATGGCCTTTGACTACTTGATTTCCAGTGTTTGTAATCTGTCTTTCCATTTATACTAATCGAAGTTTAATTTCATTGATTTTTCTAGGCACATGTGTTCTTCACTTTTCTCTGCATTTATGAAGACTTTCTCATTGTCTTGAGTAAATGATTAGCATTTATTGGTAATCCAAAAACCAACATCCTGATTTCATATATAATATTTATTTCTTGAATATACAGGATTCCAATGTACTGCTTCAAATTTTCGCATAGTCTTTAATGGCCTGCTAAGTTTCTTTTTCAAAAAATGTAAATTCTTACTCAACCCTAATAATAACCCATATTAGCCTATTTGTAAATAAAGTGAACAATGCAAAATGTAGTGAAACTATTGTACATTGAATTCATTGTTAAGAATATCATCAGTAATACTTTGACTTAAAATATCACTTTTAATTTAGGAGTACTAGATAATAATGAGAGGAGGCTTAAGATGGATGTTGAAAATACATTTATTTTACTACTTCACAGAATTTTCATTGCTCTTGATTTTTTTCACTTTCTTTGGATATTTGTTCATCACCTTCAAGTTAAATAAAATTAAACCATTCTGTTACTTCTGGACTACTGTGGAATTCGTTGTTGTTTTTGATGTCGCTGTGGAAAATTTGAGCTTCTTATGATACTGTAAGATGGATCTATGTGTGGCTTTGTTCGTTTCTCCTGTTCTTTTCTCTTTAAACTTGCTGATCGTTGTAAAATAGCATAGTGAAGCATAACATCATCAGTACACTTGTCAGCTGGTTCATTCAACACGGGAACATCTGACAAATTAGGCTCAGTATCATTATAATCATTATTTGAAATATTCTGATTTGTTGATTGTTCCATTGATAATTCTTCCATCTGACCAGATATAACACCGGTTTCTTCTTCAGTAAAATCTGGTTTCCAGCGGTAAGCTACAGAGAACTGTTTCTGTAGGCCATGAATCAGATTTGTACGACGTTTTGTTCCATGTAATTGTTCTGTCGTATTGTTTATATTGCTACCGCTAACACCACCAACGCCTCTATTGCTTTGCTTATTTGCATGAGATGGTAACCATCTCACTGTCTGTTGCGAGTGTTGTCTGGAGTCAGCATTTTCATCAAATAAAAACATACTTCTTTTACGACGTTCTTCCTGTATTTCACCTAACATGGAACGCAGTGTGGCCAGAACAAATGTACAGCTGAATGACATATGGTATAATGCATATGATAGAAGCATAAAATTACTGAAGTTTACGTTGACCAACTTGTTAATTATGTGTGCACGATGAAATATGTGTATAATAATTTCGCATAGTACATGTGGTATCATGAATGCTAAAAATATTGCTGGTTCATAAAACACACCATAATCCTCTCTCGGTAGCCAGCATAAGAAGCCAATACTCACGAATATGACGAAAATCGCTGGAATTATGCGAGTTACCACAAAATCATAGTAAATAAATGTTGCTATTCCATGTAGTGTTGGCCCACATATACAGTTTCTTTTCGCTGTACACATCTTTTCAAACTGTCTTATTACAATGGGTATTGGTATGCTTAAAGAAAATAAGGCGATAATAATGGATGACTTTAAGATAACTCCAAATACATTGCGCATAATCAAATGATGACGTGGTACTATTTCACTGAACAGAAAGTTCCAAAACAACAAAAGAAATGGTATGACAATTAAATAACTCGCAAAGCATCTCGTCACATGATCCGCGTATACAAATGCATGACACCAACCCCAACGTTTATCTATGCTATCTGGTATCTGGGGCTTTGCCACAACAATCACCAATTGTGGTAATGTAGAAAATACTAGAACAAATAATGATCCACTGCAGGCTAGTATACGATAAAGAAATAAGGTTCTATCTTGTTTTGGTAATCTATGCTTTCTAGTATGTTGCTGAACTTGGGTTTTATCGGTATTCGACTGATTCGTTCTGCACTGTTGCAATTGAGTTGGCGTAACTGATTCACGACGAACTTGAGCAGCCCATACATATGCAGCTGCGGTTTGCATAAGCGCTGGTATAATCACTATATTTAAAATCAAAAAAAATTTAAAAACTTTTAGTACACGAGAATAAATTTATTCACAAAACTTCGTTTTTCATTCTTTGAAACTAACTTTATTTTTCAAAAGTTAAGCATCGGTTTCCTGCTGGAGAAAGCAACAGTAGCAGTACACACAACTAACTTACTGCGAACGAATTGTTACTGAGTACTACTTGGTTACGATATTTATTCCTAGTGTCTTCGCTTTGCGTGCACGCGCTGCATGGAAGGAAATGTAATTATATTTACATCATCATGGTGACTGAAAAAGTACTCAACGATGGCACTTGGTGAAGGTGACGGTATTTCACAAATTAACAGAAGTGGGATAATGAGGATCACAGAATTCTAACAAAATGGCAACGTGATCGCTATGAAACATGAGGGTTCTGTGTCCAACCTCCAGCGAAGTCATGGAAGAACACTCCTGAAGAGTCCCATACTAAAACGAAACAACTCTTCAGTGCTGCCCAGGTTTCCAATGCTCCTCCAACTCATATCAGTCCATGATAAATATCAACTTAAAAACTGAGATTCGAATAAATCTCTGTTCCATTTCTTCGAAAAATGTAACTACTTTTAAGTACACCCAGGAAGCAGATTTATCAGATAACAATTTTAGGTTGTATTTTTAAGATAAACCAGACATTTTACTACAACATCAATTCCGTTCTGCTGAAAAAGATGATCAAATGTAAAGATAAAAAGCATTATCAACAGTGAATTTATTTCTCTGTGAATCATTGAATGGAAGTTCAAAAATTCCGGTTTCTTTCCATGTGTGTACTACTATTAACTCTCTCTTTCTTTCGATATTTTCGTTGATTTACACTAATATGAAGATGAATACTAATGAAATGTCAGTTGTGATACTTCATTTTTATATTAGAGGATGTTTGATAACAGTTACCACATAGGAGCAGTTAAACCTTTTGGTGTAAAATATTGAGAGTGGTTATAAAGAAACTTCGTCTATTTTATGAATCAATTTGCAATGATAAACATATTTGGATAAGATCTTGATACTGAATACTAATCTTATGGACATTATTTGGATAAATTTGAAAAACTCAAATATTTTAAAAGTGATCTTGTTATCGTATATATCTTGGATCTGTTTAAAATATTAAAAGTTAATTCTTTAGAAAAGAAAACCTTATATATGAAGAAATACTGGGATGATAAATGACCGGTAAATTACATCTGTGCTACTCTATGTCACTGTTTATCGTCAGAGGCAGAGATAGGGACAGAGGTTATCAATTTTAGAATTCCTTGATGCAACCCGCATTAAGTTTCAGTCATTGTTAAATGAATATCCAGTGACTTATATCCACTGAATACCAAAGATAGTGCTGAATATGTATGTAATGCGTCTATGGAAGACGACAGATCATTATTTATAATACATTTGTTAAAATGCGTGGCTATTTTGACCTCTATATTTCTCATCATAGTTTAGATATCAAAATAAGGGAAGTTAATGCTTAAATGCAAAGAGATAAATGGATAATTAAGGACAGGTTTTGCTGAATCCAGTTTATGATCGAAATTTAAAAGGTAATTGACGTTTTAGAGTTTTTTCGCACGTCTTAACAGATATTATATTTACGAACATTAAAAAGAAATTATGTTACCACTGAAGTGAAGGAACGGAAAGGTAGTTAAGCTAAATAGTCTAAACAAGAAACTCAGGCGATCAACTTGATATGACCATGAGAAGTAGGAAAAGGTGAGGGGTTAAATTCCGATCGAGTGGCTCAATGCAACGTGATCAATGATGAATCTGAATGCCCTGAGATCGATTCCTGACGGAATCACGGGTACGCAATGCTGAGGAATCTCTTACTAGAATGAAACAACCGTCGAATGATTTCGGTTTTTTTAACGGTCCTCCAACTGATGTCAGTCTATGATGAAAATTAACTTGAAATCAATAAAATCCTTTTCTTTAAACAATTTCTAAATGCAAATATATATGTACAAAATTTATGCTAACTTCTTGACTCTAACATTGCTTTTTACCTTAAGAAACGGCTTCACATGTTTCCGTGATGATATTAACAAAAAGAATTCACTTTCGATTCATAATTCCCTGAAATTTCTTTTTTTTTATGAGAAACAGTTTTCGACAGGTATGAAACTAGCTAGAAGAATATGTAACAGAAATTCCAAAGTTACCTTATCCATGGAAATATGCCATTAGTAAATAGTTGCATAAGACAAGTTTGTTATTTTCATTTCTTAATTTCAAAATATCCCCATTACAAAACTACGAGAGTAAAGTGAACAAATTTTCTCTGTATTTAGACATTGTACAAATAATGTGTGTTGGTCTCTTTAATAATATTCAAATTACATCTAACAGTGGCTTGCATTTTACAGTCAAGAATATGTGCTTCGTTCCTTTTGTTGCTCATTGGGTGGATGGGTCACTATTCTTACTATGATTTAATTATCGGCACATGGATATTAGGCCAATACTGTCCTTTAACGAGAAATGAAGACGAGACTAGAAAGCAAGCACTAAGGAATTTATAAAATGCCACAGAAAATTTCAGATATTTAAAAATATACGCAGTCATGAATTTTTATTGCGCTAGTTAAAATAGCCATTAAGTTTAGGACGGTAATTGGGTCACTGAAGATGCCTATCTGTATTTCTTAGCTTATTTGATATAGTGTAGTATATACATACATACATATATTACTTAGTTATCTACTGGACAGAGTTTTGATCACGCTTTATAGCTGGAATTAATATTTACATATCCACGTCAGATTGTGATAAACGGATAATTTTAAGATATAACACGTGAAATGAATGTCAGCGAATAGATGGTTTATTTAATGGCCGCCTAGTTCAACATACGTGAAACTCTTAAACGTGCTATTGAAGGTACTTTTAAAGTCATCTCGAGTGTATTGTTACATTCAACTTTGTGATCCACAGAGATTTTTGTGTTTTGTTCACCTTACGCCTGGTTGCACTTTTGAAATGCAATTATTTTCTGTTTGCTTACATTTCATCTGAAGATACATAATGATATCTTAAATGCCACTATTGGTGAGTTTCCTTCCGTGCTTTGCTTGTAGTCATTAAACCAGGAGAAATTTATACTTGTATCTCAGTCACGACAAAATAGGAACCATTTCTGTAAGAAAACTAGTGTGGCAACAGTCAACGAATGAGGTAAAACTGAACCAAAGACCAGTTATATAATAGTGACGATAAATTTCTCAAAGACATATATTTACAAAACCAGTGCTGCCTTATTCTCATCACCGAGATTATGAATAATATCAAAGGAGAGGATGTTGAAAAATGTATTTGGTTTTCGAAAACCTAGCTATCTTCTAATCACTGTTATTTTTCATGCTAGAAAATTCCTTCACTGATAACTAGATTCGTTACTGGGTGAGGACTGAGGGTGAAATCAAAATATGGGCCACAGTGTAATTCCAAACCGCAATGAACAAGTAAAGAGAAGTTTGCTGGTTCGAATCCTGTGACACTTAAGGTTTTCATTTTATCTTCAGTCGTCACCTGGTATCAGTAGCTGCAGTTTTCCGAACCATAATTACCTAAAATAGTTAGATTTATTTGGAGTCAGTGTTTATTATAGCGAAAACATACGAATAATTATTTATTCAAACTAAAAAGATTAACTGCCAATTCTATTATGCTGTCTAGTTATGTTAGTGACCTATTATGCAGTGGGTAAGGTCCACTATAATGGATTGAAATTTCCTGTTTTTGGCTTCAGCTTAACTTTTTACATCTGTTATTTCTTACTGGTGTTAAGACTAGCGGATTTCTGATCTAGTTTGTATACGTTTTTCACTTGCATCATTTCAAACATGATCTGAAGTGCCAATCTCATTGCGTCATTTTATTGTGAACTCTAATCAGTACGGATGCATTTGAGACAAAAAGAATTGATGGATATTGGCTAGCAGTGGAATCCAGGATGCCCATTTCGTCCCATTTGAGACTCGTTAATTGAATGAACCTGCCTTCTAGTGGGTGTTGTTCCCACCGGGATTCGAACTCGGGGTTGATCACTTCAGCCCTCGATGGTCTAGTGGATAACACTCTGGTGTTTGAAGTTATCGGTCCCAAGTTTAAATCCTGGTGGGAACAACATCACTCACTAGGAGGCAGGCACATCTAACTGACGAGTCCCAAATGGGACGAAATGCGCATCCTGGATTCCACTGCTAGCCACTATCCATCATTATTATAATTAAGACAGAGGTAGTGACGAGGCATCAGCACAGGAGCCCATATGCCAACAGAGATCGATCAATTCGGTCCAATCAGTGACGGCATTATACAAGCAATAATATTAAAACAAATTGAGCTACAAGAATTATGCTTAACGTTGATGAATAAATCTGTAGCCTTTACTATAAATGAATTTAAAATTAATGTTTCGACACAGCGATCAGAATATCAAGCTTCATGAGCCCTTACAAATATAGTCAGTAATTCCAGTCAAATTTCTAGCAAAGCTTAGTCAACCTGATCATTTTGTTCAAACATTCATTTCAAGCTTACATTTATTAAGTTAATTCATTCCAAAGTGCCTCAACGCTTCATGGATTTAACTAGTATTTATGTATTCTATTATGTTGTCTTCAATAGATATTTTAGTTATGAGTCTGACAAACGCTTCTTGGTGTATTGTGGAGTAAGTCTTTTTGGTAACAATTACCTACAAGTATATACCTATTCTCAATTACTTACAAATTTTTTCTCGGAATATTTGAATACGCGTAACTCTGATTTAAAGGCTGAGATGTAAGAAACTGAAATTACCGTCTCAATCATCAATAAACCAACATCATACCTATGTTCGAATTTCTGTCATAGCTGTCTACTTCCGTAAAATACTGCCAAAAGAAAATAAAATCAGGGAATAAAAGGCTTTTTGGCGATGACGTACTGTATCTTTCTTGCGTACGATTCAATGGAATCA